GGTAAAAATATTTCAAAAAACTAAAATCAGAAATAGTAGTCTTAAAAACAAGTGGTTTGATAAAGAATGCAGTGATGCTAAAGAAGAATTTAGAGTAAGGAGAAACGCATATAACAGGCATAAATGTGAAAACATTACAAGTCCATTTATTGAAGCTAAAAGAATTTCCAAGAGCAATTTCGATATATCAGAGAGTGAAAAATTGTCAAATCTTGCCAAAGATGTTAAGATGGCGGACATAAGCGACGAGGAGGCAGCTCCAAACAATGGTAGTCATATATCACCTTGAGGACCCGAACCCCCCTAGAGAGTACATGCGACAGCATCAAGACGATTTTTATCACCTAGTGCGAGAACTTCAGCTTGCTGATTCCGAATGTTTCCGCAGGTACACTCGATTTTCACCCGCACTTCTCGAAGAGGTTCTGCAGCTCATTGAGCTACTCATTCAACATCCTCAGACACATCGGATTCCAATCGGTCCAAAGGAACATTTAATGATGACGATTAGGTAACTATGTGTACATTTACTTTGGAATAGAAATGTCCTTTTCCGACTATATAACTGTATTTTGTCTCTTTCACGTCTGTTCTGTTTGGTAATAATTCGTACTGCGAGGTAGATGTAAAAGTGTTGAATTGAGCGCTTTTGGTTGAGGTAATACAGAAGCAACTGTAAACTTTTAGATTTAACCCTGTTAAAGTGCACTGACTGTCGGACTTTTCTAAAGGGGTTGTAAAGGGGCTTACTTAACTTTTTAATTGTATTGGGAACACTGAAAGCATCGATTTCAATTTTCAGTCAGACGTTCGTGGCTCTTGCAATTTTCCTAAAACTAGCTCTTTGCATGACGTTTCAAGAGGTAAAAGCTACTATGTCTCTAAGCATATCTATCTTGGATTTAGTGGAATTGTAAGAACCACAGACGCCAGTATGGAAATTGGAATGGTGCAAATCGATGATTTCAGTGTTTAGAAAACCTTTTAACAATTTCTTTAATTGTTATTCTAACACTCGTTGGGTATATTAGCTTAACCTTTACATTTCAGGTACCTGGCTTCTGGAGATTCACAAGCGTCCATATCATTCGCGTATCGTGTTGGTCGGGCAACCATCTGTAAGGTTGTGTCACAAACGCGTCGGGCAGTATGGGAAGCACTTGGTCCAACAGAAAGTGTATGGCGAGATATTTCATAATTCACACTTTTTGATGTCGGCTCGTCGGGTAGGCACAGTGACGGTGGCGTATTAGCCCACAGTGCCTTTGGAAAGGTCCATGAAAGAAAACAGATGAACTTTCCCCAACCCGCTTACCTAACAAATACACAGATGATGCTGCCTCGTGTGATTGTTGGGGACGGGGCATTTCCTATGAGAGAGGATCTGATGCGACCATATTCTGGACGTAATCTCCCCGATGATAAGAAGATATTTAATTACAGACTGTCACGTGCCCGACGAGTGATCGAGAATACTTTCGGTATCCTAGTCGCTCGATGTCGAATTTTCCGCTGACCGATCATATGCAAACCTGAAAATGCTGTTGCAGTGCTTAAAGCTGCCATCTGTCTACACAACTTTCTGCGGAGATCTGATATTGGAAGGCAACCAACTGAACGGTACTGCCCACCTGGATTTACCGATTATGATAACGGTAATGGAAACATCATCGAGGGTGCATGGAGAGGTGAAATCACCAAGCGAGCAGCCCTTCAACAGATTGGCCGTATTGGAACTAATAACCACAGTGTCGGTGCTGAATCGGTGAGACAAGATTGAACCAACTATTTCAATTCAGATGTAGGGGCCCTTCCCTGGCAACTAAGGCATGTTCGCCGAGGTCAGGAGTCGGAGAGTGATAACTCTGACAACTAGTCTATCAAAACATGTTTTATTATTTGACAAACAATTACAACAGAAGTGATGCGCACCCACGTCATTCAATGTTACGTAATGTTGACTCTGTTGATCACACGACGGAGGAACAGGTTGCTCACGTGGTGGAATACTGCACATCTCTTCAGGCTTGCGTACAGGCTGTTTATTTCCAAATTCTACATCAAACATAAACTGCTCCACGCGGAGGCGCACCAGCGACCTCCCGCGGGGGTTCATGGCCATCATGCGCATTCAAATTGATTCCGCCCATACCATACACTCATCTTTCGGTTTGCGAGTGACTATAGCATCGGTTGAGCGCTTCAGGGCTTCCATATTTTCTGATCGCTCGTTAGATGGTATATTTGGCCGTCTCTTCTTGGAGCCCCTTTGAATTTCAGACTCGTGCATCTGCCCACCCGGGGACAATGGTCGAGAAACGCCCGATACAGGTGTCTGCCGACCAGAGGACGAGGTTCTTGGTACATCACGAACAGGCGTCTCTCTGTCAGAGGTCGTAGGGGGTGACAGGTATGAAGAGTCTTCACCTTGTAGATCATTAGTACTTTCGAGATCGTCACATTCTTGATAATTGCCCTCAGTTCCGCAATAAATAATAATAAGGGGTCTAGGAAGCTCATCATTTCGAAATATTGCCGTTTCCTTATTCTCTGTGCTTCCTGTCCGCTTTTTGTTATTAGCTCTCATCTTTTTCTGGTGTAGGTATCTCTGAGATTTAAATCTTTTACAGGCCCATCCTCCTGAAAATAACAATACACAGCTTAACATGGATTACATGGCTGTTAACAACTTGTTTTGAAAAAGCACTTTGCATGGAGAATGAACAGAATGCAGACAGATACATGGCGCAGGCTCGCATTCATGTCACAAACGATATAATTACATAACTGATAGAGACAACCATGGTAAGCATCGAGAATGTTAGTGCCATCGGTGTCCATTAATGTACGTATAATCATAGAACATGTCCCGCAACATCCATACTTACCATCTCGACCCAACGTCTCGTCAATAGTTCGCCAGACATTTTCTTTAAAATCTGACCGGGTTGTCACGTACAAACACTTAAATTTTTCAACCTAAATTATTAACCTGTGTCATCTGTGTTTTCAACGTAGAAAAGATCAGAATCACTCCTTGTCTGTGTTGTACAATAGCTACTTGTGATTGGTTGAATTGCCGGCGTTTGCTAGCGTAAACGCCGGAAAGTTCAACACAGTTGAACTCTGGAAAATGTTACGTCGTCAAACGGCGTTATACGGCGTGTCTCGCTGGCATTGTAAGTATAAATCGATGCGCTGAAAAACGCCGTCTCCCAGCGTATAAAAGCGTTTAACGGCGTAAGAAGTATAAACCCAGTCTTAAGCATACTCGAAAGGGAAATAACTCATCCAGTTGTCTAACTGTTAATGATTTCTATGATTATTTTAAAGATTTGTTTGACTATACGGCTCTAGCCCCATCAGAGAATGACAATTTCGACCTTAATGATTGTCCAAGTATATCGGTTATTGATGATGATATTACTGAAGCTGAAGTATTGAATGTAATCAAAAACTTGAAAAGAGGTAGAAGCTATGGCATTGATAGCATACCTTGTGAATTCTGCATTGCATGTGCAGAAGTTCTAACCCCAATTCTTACAAAACTGTTTAATGCAATTTTCACAACTGGTTGTTATCCATCGAAATGGTCTGAAGCATTACTTGTTCCAGTACCAAAGACTGATTCAGTCGCTAATTATCGTGGAACAGCATTAATCTCGAATTTCGCAAAAATATTAAGCCTTGTATTAAATTCAAGATTAACCAACTGGGCCGAATCTACTGGTAATATGCATGATTGTCAATTCGGTTTTAGAAAAAATCGTAGCACTGTTGATCATGTCCTTATTTTACAAAATCTGATTACACAAACCCTGGGAAACGGTGAGAAATTGAATGCTAGTTTTATAGATCTCCGTAAATGTTTTGATAAGATTTCACATAATTTGTTATTTTTCAAGCTTCATCAATTTGGTAGTAGCTGTAAATTTATTAAAATTATAAAGGCAATATATGATGATGTTAAGATACACGTTAGAGTGAATGGTGTAATATCTGATAGTTTTAAATGCCAAATGGGTGTAAAACAAGGCGAACCAATGTCTCTTTGTTTTTACTTTTTATGTATGACGTTGAAACTAATTTGTTCCCTGAAATTTATCATATAAGTGATTTCTGTGTTGTTATTGAATCTTATTTATTTTAATGTTTGCCGATGATACGGTTTTATTCTTTAAATGTCCAAAAGAATTACAACGTCTGTTAGATTTATTTTATTTGTTTTGTTCGAAATGGAATTTGTGCATTATTATTTAATATTTATCGGGAGCTTAAGGATGACAGGGGTAAACAGAGATGGGGAACTCAAGTGAGAAATTTACTAAATGATCTGGGCTTAAATTACATGTGGGACTTTCAATTTAATTTAAATACCTGCTCCTTTGATATTATTCGCTCACGCATTATTGACCAATATAAGCAACAATGGTTTTCAGAAATTAATTCTTCCAACAAATTAGTTTTATATAAACATTTTAAGCTGAAACAGGAACAAGAAAGTTTCTTATCTTTTATTAAATATTCAATCTAAATATGTTTTGTGGTTTTTACATAATTAGTGAATCGAAATTCAATCTGAATATTATATTTTGTGGTTTCATATAGTTTATGAATCATTATTCAATCTGAATATGTTTTGTGGTTTCATATAGTTTGTGAATCATTATTCAATCTGTATATGTTTTGTGGTTTCATATAGTTTGTGAATCATTATTCAATCTGAATATGTTTTGTGGTTTCATATAGTTTGTGAATCATTATTCAATCTGAATATGTTTTGTGGTTTCATATAGTTTGTGAATCATTATTCAATCTGTATATGTTTTGTGGTTTCATATAGTTTGTGAATCATTATTCAATCTGAATATGTTTTGTGGTTTCATATAGTTTGTGAATCATTATTCAATCTGAATTATTTGTGGTTTCATAAAGTTAGTGGTAGTTATTCAATCTGAATATGTTTTGTGGTTTCATATAGTTTGTGAATCATTATTCAATCTGTATATGTTTTGTGGTTTCATATAGTTTGTGAATCATTATTCAATCTGAATATGTTTTGTGGTTTCATATAGTTTGTGAATCATTATTCAATCTGAATTATTTGTGGTTTCATAAAGTTAGTGGATCGTTATTCAATCTGAATATGTTTTGTGGTTTCATATAGTTTGTGAATCATTATTCAATCTGTATATGTTTTGTGGTTTCATATAGTTTGTGAATCATTATTCAATCTGAATATGTTTTGTGGTTTCATATAGTTTGTGAATCATTATTCAATCTGAATATGTTTTGTGGTTTCATATAGTTTGTGAATCATTATTCAATCTGAATATGTTTTGTGGTTTCATATAGTTTGTGAATCATTATTCAATCTGAATATGTTTTGTGGGTCATGAATCATTATTCAATGATATATGTTGTAACAGATGTTCAAATATCTAATGTTCTTCAGGTTCAAACATGTACCGTTTATGTGTAGGTTAACTTCAGAACTACATTTTGTCAGAAGTGGTCAAAGATGAATTTAAACAACATTCCAGTACCTAAACTTCTGAGTTTGGAAGGAAACAAGGCAGAAAGCTGGCGTAAATGGCTGCAAAGTTATAAATTTTATATGAAGAGTGTCGAACAGGACCAAAAGGGTGAAGCCATACAGTGTGCTACTTTTTTGACAATAGCTGGTCAAAGGGCTATAGAGGTGTTTAATACATTCACTTTCACTGATGCAGAAACTGACAAGATTGAGCCACTGATAACAAAGTTTAAAGACCACTGTGCCCAAGCCAAGAATCTAACAGTGGAGAGAAGTATTTTCTTTGCCAGAAAACAACAACCAGGAGAAACAATTGACACAGTTAATAAACACTCAGATGTCAGAAGAAAATGGAGAGATAATTCAACAAAGTTTGATAACAGTAAACAGAGAAATTTAATAAAGTTCAACATAGTCAAGGTCAAACCGCACCCTCGTTTAGAAATTATAGAGATTTGGGACAGAAATCTCAGAATAGAGGACCTATGTGCAATAGATGTGGTTATCGTCATGATTTTAAAGGTCATTGTTCAGCTAAAGGAGACATGTTATAAATGTAATGGTGTAGATCATTTTGCTAGGTGTTGTCGTAGTAAATCTTCAAAGGTACGAAAGATATGATTGTGATTTTTATGTTGATACAGTAGATTCAGATTCAAAACCTTGGATGATTCTACTACAGGTGAATGGAACAGTTGTTCCACTAAAAATGAAACTGAGCCACATATTTTGAGTAAGACTGACTTTGATAAATTAAATCAGAATGCTAAATCAAATGTAAAATTAACAGCATATGGCGAAAGTGACATTTTTGTTTTACTTGTTATAATTTTTCACATCATTGTTAGCTTTCGGGGAAGGGAGGGTTTGATTCTCCCAAATGTACAGGCCTAGGGTGGAGCAGACACTTTATTTAGAAATTAGGATTAAGGGTCTTGATATTGGGTTTTTTTCTGTTCTTATTCTGGTCTGAAATTAGAAAAAATAATCCCCAAACCCAGTTTGACTTATTTGCATAATTTGATCCTCACATTTTCACGCTAGCATATACAGTTTCCTCCTCTTACATCCGCTGTACATTCCCTTTCTAACCTCAAGTTATTTTCATTATGCTCCCCAACTACAACAACCACTGGCAAGAAGCCAGACATAGAAACACTAATCGTCAACCAAACCAATATCACGTACCCTACAACGGCCCTGTCTTCCATCGACCTCTACCACCTACCAATCGCCGACCACCAACCAACCCATCCAACTATATCCCACCCCATCGCCGACCTACCTACAACACAGCCTACCAATCAAGAGGTAACCATCGACCCCAACAACAGAAACGACTACCAGCCCACCGACGCCAACCAGTCCCCACTCATAAGGAGGAAGAACCCTTTGTGAAGGTGTTCTTCCAAGTTTTGCAGTGCCTCCATCATTTGGCAATCCTTACCCTTCAACAGCAAGGCCAACCAGCGTTTACCTTCAAACGCAAAGTCTCTGAGTTGGATAGTTTTATCCGTCCAGCAATGAAAACATCAGCTGTCGACGCGCGCGAATATTAGATCCCTCAATCGGACATGGCTCTGTAAGGTTACGCAGGTCCTGATCGACCATTACCAAACCACACTTCAAGAGAAGCTGACCACCATTCGTACCAAGTCTTTGTCATCACCTGCCGTCGACCGCATCGTTTCTCATGCCCTGTCCTGGGCCCGTCGCTCCTATGGGAAACGTCTCACTCAAGCTGTAATTTCCAAATTCTACCAAACAATCAACGAAACAAAAACCAGAGTAACCATATCTCTACCAACTGAAATGGACACTACACCTGCACCATCTAGAGCTACCACGCTGCCGAACCAAACCCCTAAACGAGCCCGAAGTTCACCTACCCCTAGTCCAGCAGACATAGGTAAACGCTCTCGTAGAGAGGGCACACCCCTTCTCTTTTCACTTTCAGACTCGTCTTCCCCTTCCACACCATCTGAATCTTCACCACGTGATCCAGGATCCGCCAACCTTTCTTCCTTCTGTGCGTTTTTGGACCAGCAAACCACCCCTCAGTCTCCATCCAAGTCGAGACATGTATCCAGACCTTCCCCTCCTCGAACCAGATCCCAGTCCGTTCCCAATGCTACAATTCTAACAACTACCAAACCAGTACCAATCACACCGTCGACGACCATTATATCCGCTACCAAACCGTATTATCACCAAACCAAGGACAAATCATTATGGAAACTACCTGCTCTAAAGAAATCAACCTTAATAATTGGATCATCTAACCTGAATCGAATTACCTAAACCAGTTCAGACACCGAAATACATTCTTACCCCGGTGCCCAAATCCATCACATACAGTCAATCCTGGAATCATACGACCATGATCCCAAACCTACTACCATTATTCTTCATGTAGGCCTCAACAACCGTGATCAGATACCAAAGACCTCCTTTAACCAAGCCCAGAAATTAATCGCCACAGCCAATAAAACCTTCCCAAACTCCAAGATCCTCTTCACATGTATACCCATTTCAAATAAAATCTCGAAGAAAGCACAACAGAACCTCAGCACCCTCGACAACATGATGATGGAGTCCAGTATCAACAGCGCAACAATCTTACCACCCTACGAAGAAGAATTCGAAACAGTTGATAATCTTCATTGGTCTCCAGAAACAGCAAACAGCATTTATTTGTTTTGGATACACCAGCTTCAAGCATCGAGTAAGTCTTTAAACTAATTACTGGGGATAAAAATACTGAGAGGCCACCGCTAGGCCAAACTGTAGTTAACTTGAGCCGCAAAATTCTCACACCCCTTCAGCATTCAATCTTAGACCGTGGACTTAAGTTTATTCCCACACCAAAGATAGCTAACTTGAATTATCTCCGACCATCCATTGAACGATTTCAACGAAATATTAGCTGCACATATTTTTTTCGAAACCACCCCCCACGTGGTGCTAGAACAATCTTTATTCCTAAATCCACGTGGACGCTCCCTCAGGCCGCCATCCATCCTGAAATATTGAAAGCATTTGCTAGTATGAATAGCCAAACAGTGAACCTTTCCATAACACACGAAAAGCCGAATCTCACACGAGTGGAACGTGAAGCGTTAAACTTACTTAAGAAAGACGATAGCATTGTTATTAAAAAGAGTGACAAAGGTTCATGTTGTGTCATTCTGAAT